CCTTACTCTTTAAATAAAAAGGAGCCTTTTCCTCTCCTCATCTCTGTAAACTAAAATGAACCTTCTTCTCAGGTCAGAAGGGATTGAAATTGTTTCCAGGGTGGTCACATGCCTTGACAGCTTACCATTGAGGTGGGGAATCTCTCCTTAGGCTGTCAGGTCTAGCTCAAATTAGTGCTCCGTCCAGATGGTGTCAGAGTGGAGAATCACTCTCCCAATCCCTACCCTTCCAGGGACTGATCATAGAGTCCTCTTAGATGGATTCTTCACCTGGCTGTGAGCCACTGAAATGAGTTCCCCCTCAATTAGTTTGGGAGGTTTTTCTACTGATGACAAAAATGATTCAATTACTCCTTGATAAAAGAATTTAAAGGCAAAAAATCAAACCCCGAAGTTCTTAAATTAGCTAGGTGAGATTGTATGCTGTCTTGGGGAGGGAGGAGGGAACAGAGGGGGAGAAAATTTAAAACTCAAAAGATTATGGAAGTGATTGTTGAAAGCTAAAAATAGGGGCAGCTAGGTGGCTAAGTGGAGAGGACCTGAGTTCAAATCCGGCCTTAGACCAAACACTTCATACTAGCTGTGTGACCCTAGGCAAGTCACTTAACCCCAATTGCCTAAAAAACCAAACAAAAAAAACCCCTAAAAATAAATTAATAATAAAATAAAATTAGCTAGGTGGCTAGCTGGCTGAAAATGAGGAACCAGAGATTCCATGGCTGAATCTCCCTGGTCTTAACAAAATAAAAGTAAAGAGAATGGAAGAAAAGAAAAAAAAACAGTAGCCTGTGTATAAAAAGTTAAAATTATGTCCATATAATTTTTATAAAAGTAGAATTTGACTGCTCCAGAGCTCATACATTTAGACAGATTAATCACAAATTCAAATAGTCCCTCTTAACCCGGTTAGGGACCCTTCCTAGAGAAAATAAATTTAGGGCAAATCAAGACAGGCTCACCAATCTTGAAGAGATTTACCTCAGGCTTAGAGAATTTGGATGCAGACAGCAGGGGGAGTCCCACCTCCCAGGGCCAGTGTCGGTGGGGGAGCCGAAGTGAAGATTCATCCTGGTATGCACTTCCTTTCTGGGCCCCTTGCAGGGACTGGCCTAAAGAGGTTGGGGTGCCAATAATGTCCAACCTACAATAAAAGAGACTGAGGCAGAGCCCTCAGTCAATGGCACTTTATTGAAGGGTCTGTGGTCACCTATTTAATGAAGTGGACCTCAGATCTTCAGGATCTAAGATGCCCTCTTCTTCCAGGGCCTCATTTTTATAAGACTTGATACCAGATTTAATACCTGAACACTCTGAAGGGGTTACGCAAAATACAGAATCTCATTGGTTGATAGACTTTGTTTCAAGGGCCAAAAAATGATGCATCAACTAGAAATGGTATGTTAGTAGGTGGGTCTTGGGTTGGGTGAAGCATGAGAGATCTCCACGCAGTGGTCAAAAGATGGTCACCTGGTCATGCTGGACAAGAGAGAGTGGGCCAGAAGGACAAAAATAAGTTGGGGGACTTTCCATGTAATTGAGTCATCTCAGCCATGCTGAGGGCCTCTAGTTAGCTTCCTATGATTAAGCAAGTGAACTTAGAATCTGCAGCTCACAGTTGTGGGGCCTAATATACAGAACTTATAATCATTACCCCTGTGGAATCATAACTGATGCCATACTGATTAATACTGATTGGACTAGAGTCGGGGTTCAAATGAATTATTTCTCACAAATAATTGGTACTTTGTAAACCATAAAGTGCTATGGCAAATTTGAGTTGTCATCGTATGTCCTGCCTCCTTCAGTAATTCAAACAATTAAAATGTCAATTGTGTTAAATCCACATAGGAAAAACTAAGTGGATAAAGAATAACTATTTGCCAGGCTATGTTCAATGGACAATCCACTGAGTTTGTTCTCTCTCTCTCTTTCTCTCTGTATACACACACACACACACACACACACACACACACACACATATGTGTATGTATAAGTGTATTACATATGTGTGTATCTTGGATAGGCATTACAAATGAACAATGAACTGGTCCCAGGATTGAATAGAAGAAAGAAAGTGAGTTGAATCACATTTGAGAAACTATGCATCACTCTCAGTGATCCCAAGATACTCTCTAAAACAAAAATTCATCTTTTGAAGACACCACTATTCTCCCAGAGACTCTAAATGGGGGTGAACCATAAAAGACTACAATCTCCAAAAGATTATAATTTCAAGTTACCCAAAGGACAATGAAGAGATGAATGGTAAGCATAAATAGATTATAGTGTATTACCAGAGATGACTTCACACAAGAGAGGCATAAAACTCATCATTCAGGATATATGTGTGTGTGTGTGTGTATATATATATGGGAGAAAAGAAGTTAGTAGGACCATCACATTAGTAAGAATGAGGGATAACAAGGGGATAACCCACTTACATCAGTACCACATAATGTTAAAAGATGTACAGGAAGGCCCCTGGTGCATTAGTGGATTCTTTACAGAGTATTTATGGGAGAACACGGACAGAAGTATAGATAGGTTGTGGTTTGCACTATTGGAAAGAGTGTCTACATTGATGAGATCTTGGACTTATTGAAGTATTATCTGCCTTGACTTTTGACCTCCAAGATGCTCTCCCAGCTTTCTCAATGCCAATGGTACTTGGCTCACCTCCTCTCAGCACTACCTTTTACCATCATCCTCAGTACCTGGATGATCCTTCTAACAGCAAGACTCAAAGTTCCTTAACTTCCTTGATTCCTATGACTTTCATTGTCCACACTGCTTCAACTATCTAATGTTGGGTCCAAAATTGTCCATCCTACAACAAAAGAATCTGAGGCAGAGCTCCAAGACATAGCACTTTATTAAAGGGTCTATGGCCCCCTCTACGGAAGTGGTCTGAAGATCTGAGATGCCCCTTTCCCCTATGGTCTTAGTTTTATAATGTCTGATACCCAGATGATACAGGAGAGGCACTATAAAATGCAGAGCCTCATTGGTTAATAGATCTTGACCCTGACCATCCAGATGGCTCTACACAACATACAGAATTCCATTGGTTGACAAATGAGCTGATGAGCAGACCATGACAGACCACCTATCTTGACCTTTCAGGAGGTCCTACTGAGCCAATAAGCATACCTATGGGCTGGGCTGATAAACAGATGTCAAAACATCTACATGGGCCAGTAGAAAGACAGGCCACAGGCCAGCAAACAGGATCATTTATTGGCCAAATGCTTATGGCCATGTCTCCATGTTAGGCAATAGAGAGATGACCACTGCAGAGGGGCAATAAAAATAGTTGGAGGACTTTCCATGTCATTGAGTCACCTTTGCCATGCTGAGTTTGGTCACCATAACAAGGAAGAAACAAGGGTGGAGGTAATCTAGTTAGCTTCTTATGATTAAGCAAGTGAACTTACAATCTGCAGTTCACAGATCTGGGGCCTAATAAACAGAATTTATAATTACCATCTCTATGGAATTATATCAAGCTGATTAATACTGATTGGAATAAAATAGGGCTCTAATCAATCATCTATCACACTTAAACCTCACCATTACTTGAGATTACTCCATCTCCAAGATTCTGAACTCTGAACTTCCTCTGACAATCTGATGAGTGTCAGACAACACTTAGAAGTTGTTTTAAATTACATTTCAAATTACATTTTTCCTGTTATTAATGATTTGGAGCATTTTTATATGACTTTTGTAATTTGAATTTTTTTCCTTTAAGAACTCCCTTTAACCATTGATCTAGTAACAGCTCTTGGTCTACTATATAATTTATATATATCTTTGATATCAGAATTTTATCAGAGAAATTTGCTGCAAAATAATTTCCCCAGTTCACTATTTCCATTCTAATTTTAGCTGCATTGATTTTGTTTGTGCAAAAGCTTCTCAGTTTAATATAATCAAAATTGTCCGTTTTATTTTCTGTGATCTTCTCCATCTCTGGTTTGGTCATGAGATTTTTTTTCCCCTAACCATAGTTATAAAAGTTATCCCCTTCCTTGCTCTAGTTTTTTTTTTTTTAATGATGTGACCTTTTATATCTAGGTTATGTATTTTTTGGCCCTTATTTTGGTATATGGTATCTATCAGGTTTTTTTTTTTTATAACTAGGCAGGGCACTATACTAGAGACTGGGGATGGAAACATGAAATGCTGAGATACTGAATAAGTGCTGAATGTGTGCTAGTCTTATTTCTAAGATAAGATTGTGTCCTCAAGGACTTATCATTCTCATGTTTCTTCCTCATTTCCTAGCACAGGGCTGGACAGAACCTAAATTCTCCATAAATACTTCAGGATTTATTAGGAAAAGAAAAGAGTGGTATATGGAAAAGGGTCTCTTCTACTTTAAGATCTGCAACCAGTAGGCTGATTGGACCTAACAAGCTTCATAAGAACCATCTGTGAGGCTGCCCTGCCCTGTGATAAAGGGGGGAATGGAGTAGGTGCGAGCACGGAGGCAGCGTAGCTGAGGGAGCAGAGACAGAAACGCCAGGCAGGATGGAATGACCAGGGTGTTAAGAGGGATAAGAAGGCTGGCAGTTCTGGGGTGAGGTCAGGCAATGGAAGCTAAAGCTACTTCCTGATCCCTGGCTTCTTTTTACCTCCAAGTTTCATAGAGCCCCAGGAGATGGGGATGATGGCGCCTAAGAGAGGAGAGGATGACCTCTGAACATTAAAAACCTCATAGTTTAGGATCAACCTTGGCTTCATTTATCTCTGTATTCATTATGCCTTTGGTGATTCCTACTCTGTGCCCCATACCTTAGGTCTGTGGGGGAATACAAAAGAACCTACAGTTTATCTGAGGATAGAAGGTCTACACCCCTAACAAAACCAGGCAGATGAGTGGTTGAAGGAGGGGGATACACAGAGGGTACAGCAACTGGAGCTCAGAGGCTGGGGAGATCCCTGTGGGCCAGGGTCGTCAGGGAAGCCCTTACCTGGCTCCCCTCTTCTTCTCACAGCCTTAGGTGCCCTCAAAACTCCCTCCTCAAGCATCATGCCTCTAACCAGCGTCAGCCGAAAGGCTGAAAAGTCCTTGGCTGTGTTCTGGGGTAAGTAGGATGGGATTCTCCTCCTGGAAGAGTCGGGGGGCGTTGGGTGGGGTTCCTGGGCTTGGGGATAAAGAGAATTCTTCTTCTTCGCTTCCTCTTGGGATTTCCTTTATCTCTGCTCGGTTCTCAGCACTGGGAATAGAAAGCCCTCTGGGGCAAGAATTGTTGATTGATGGCTAGAGTTCCATATTTGCTGACCTAAAGTGGTAGAAAAGAGGACATGGGGGAGGGAAGAGTAAAGGGGGAAAGTATTCTTCATAGCCACCCTTCCCCAGTCTCTCTTCCTCAGGCTGTGAGTTGAACTGGGATAATCGCTCATATACTTTTGATCCCTTGGAAGATGAGAACTGTGACCGTAAGTTAATGCTGAACCTGGTGAGTGACAACCCAGTCTGACTAGGAAGTTAGAGGAGAGGGTTGCCTTTATCCTAGGGATGATGGGAGTGGGACAGAGGAGGTGGGGAGGAAGAATGGGGAGGAATCCTGAATAGGAAAGAAAAGTGTTCCTGAGGCCCGGATAGGTAGATGTCCAGGGCAATGGGCAGTAGTAGGAGGAAGCTTGAGTATGCTCCCACACCCCCTTGCAGATCTGCCTAGGGGAGACGAAAAATGATGAGGTGAACATAGTGGAGATCATACCACCCCCTAATGAGGATGGCAAGGAGAGACGACCATTTCCCTTTGCCACACTGAAGCCCTCAGTCTTGCCCATGGTAAGCCACCCCATGACCCATCAACTGACAGGGAGGGATGGGTAGGGACTGAGACAAGCTACTTTCTCCAAAATTCCACCCTTAGAGATTCATATCTTTAAGTCAAATATTGCCAGTCCCTTTAAAATGCAAGGCTTCTGGGAGGGGTAATGCTTTCAGTTATTCCTACCTTAGTATGAGTAAGCCATCAGTGCAGGAAATAAGAGGGACACTGGGTACTTGAGGAAGTAGAGAGGATGAAGGAGGCAAAGGAAAAGAGCGGAAGAAAGAACTATGATTAAGATGGCTCCTGACTTCCCTTTCAGCACAAATACAGGGTTGTCTTAGTGTACTTTTAAGCCTTAATAGCTTTAAATAATAGTTCCAGCTCATAAAATAACAGGGTAAGCTATTCAAGCTAACTTTGGGGATACCCTGTAGCCAGACTGACCAACTTCCCCTACTTTTCTCTAAAGCTATTTCTTAGCAAAACCAGGAGCTTTAGAGTAGTAGGTAGGGGCAGGAAACCTGAGAAATTCTGCTTCCTGGTTGCTTCCTTTTTTCAGGTCAACATTTCAGGAATGGAGCTCAATCCACCCATCACTTTCTACCTTAGGCGTGGCCCAGGGCCTGTCTACATCAGTGGCCGTGATCTTACTGGTAAGTCAGGCAGGTAGAGTGTGAGGTTGCCATGCTAGGTCCATAACAGGCAATGGCAACTGGGTTTCCCCATTGTCCAAGAAACTTTAGTCTGAGATTCAGAGCTCTCCCCAATCTGGCTTTAATCTGTCTTTCTAACTCTATCTTTTTTTTTTGTTTTGTTTTTAATTTTTTAATTGTTTTTAATATTTTTTAAATGATTTTTTTTGGGGGGGTTTTGTTTGTTTTTAGGCAATTGGGGTTAAGTGACTTGCCCAGGGTCACACAGCTAGTAAGTGTCATGTGTTTGGTCTGAGGCTGGATTTGAACTCAGGTCCTCCTGACTTCAGGGCCAGTGCTCCACAGCTAGGCCACTGCGCTACCTAGCTGCCCCCAACTCTATGTTTAAACTCATTCTGAGCCTCAACCTCCCCAACAGAGCTTATACAATTCTGCCTTCAAAGTCTTCATTCTGGCTTTTTCTCCTTCCTGAAAAGCCCTCCCCTCTGAGTCTTCCTAAAGTCTTCCCCTCCCCTCCCACATACCCAACAGGTACAAATGTACACACATACACATATGTACACATACACATGTGGATACAAATACATGCATACATATGCACTTGTAGCCTTCCTCTAGGAAACTTTCCATGACTCCTGCAGCCCACCGCATAAAGTCCTGTGGCACTTGGAACATGTTGCTTTTTATTTATTCCCATTTCATGTGTATGTGTCTTCCTTTTCAACATCCATTTATCAAGCACCTAGCATGTGTAGAAAGCACTGTCTTAAAGGCCATGGGAAGATGCCTATATTTGTGCCCTCAAAGTTTTACTGATCCTTTGGTCTTCTTCAGCACGTAGCATAGTGCTGGACATACCGGTGCTCCATAAACATTTTCTTGGCTGATTTTTTTTCTTTTTTGCTTTTACAGAATTTCCCCATGTATCCATCCCTTCCCTCCTCTTGAAAAGCCATCCCACATAACAAAGAAACTTAAAAAGAAAAGGAGGAAGGTGAGGGGGGAGAGCCGGGATTAGTAAAACCTGTCAGTACATAAAAAAACCAAAACTCACAATATATGCAATATTCCACACCCATAGACGACCTCCTTGCCTAAATACACACACACACACACACACACACACACACACACACACACACACACACACACCAGCAAAGGTGTGGAGAGAGGTATCTTTTCATAGCTCTTCGAGACCAACACTGTTCTTTGTAATTTTGTAATATTCATTTTCAATTATTTTGTGTTGTGGTGGTCATTGCATATGCTGTTTTCTTGGCTCTGCATCAGTTCATTCACATCTTTCCAAGCTAATTGGTTGATTCTTAACACTGAGGAAGAAGAAAGGGTTTTTGGGAATGCAAGTTCTTGTGGTTCCATTCCTGCAGTGCGTTTAGACCCATCCTGGGAGGAAGAAGGGAATAAGGAGGATGAAAAGGAGATGGAGGAGGCTGAGGAGGAAGAAGGAGATGATGATGATGACAATGACGATGACAATGATGATGACGACGATGACGACAGTGATGATGATAATGAGGATGAGGATGACGAGGATGACGATGAAGATTCTAATGAGATATCCTTGGAAGAGACTTCTCCACCTAAGCCAGCCAAGCGACGGGCCTCCAAAAGTCAGACTGGTGTCGCAAAGGTGAGAGCAGAGTTCCTGGACGGTGTCTGGGGTAGGGGGCTTAAAAGAATAAGGGCAGGGGCTCATCACCTTGGTTCTACATTATGTACAGCCTATGGGGCCAATGGTCTCTGTGGACAAGACAATGTGGAAAGAGCTTTGGATTTGGAGCTAGAGGCAAAGTTCAACCCCTGGCTCTTCTGTTTACTCCCCATGTGGCACTGAACAAGTCTGTAAAAAATATATAACATCTATAGATGCGAATGAATGGATTGCCCTAGAACTTGAAGGTCCCATCATGCTTTAAATCCCTTTCCATCTAAAGGACTCATCATGTGATGGGCAGAGTTGTTGGACTTGGGGTCAGAAAGATGCAAGTTCCAATACCAACTTTGACCCTGACAAGCTGTGTGACCAGAGGTGTAACCTCTCGGAGCCTCTGTTTCCTCATCTGTAAAATGAAAGGGTTGGCCTAGCTGGCATCTAAAGTCCCTTTCAGCCCTACATTCTATGATCCATGACCAATGGAATGCTTGAGAATAAGGTGCTGCCAAGATACCCAGAAATGGAAGGAAGAGAACCTCTAGTTCATTGCTGTAGAGTGGTCTTGGCTAGAGGCCATATAGTCCATCCTGGCTACTGCTATTTTCTTTAACTGCAGAAAAAGAAGCTGGAGGAAGAGCAGAGGTGAGCCTGAGGCAACTAAGAGGTGTTAGAGTCTAGGAGGGAGTGTTCTCCCAGACCTTGCCCACTCCTCCAAATTGTCACTTCTCCTCCCTTCCCCCAAACTGTCCAAAGTTCAATTCTTCCTGACTGCGGGTGCCAAAAGGTACCGGTATGAGACCCCATTCTCTCTTCTTAGAGTCCCATTGCTGAGGAGCCTTGAAATGAAGGTAAGAACCAAAGGAGAAGATGGCAGGGGTTATGTGAAGGTGGGGTCCGATGATCTGGGGTGGGGAACACAAAGCCCTTTTTTTTCCCCCAACAGGCCAAAGGCAAGAAGGCAAAGACAATACTCAGGAAATAAGGGCAACGTGCAAGAGAGGTAGTGAAGGTGAGTGAGATGTAAAGTCTGACCAAAAAGGAATGAGTGAGATGCCTCGGTTTGCCCCAAGGTCTGATGCTGGGCTGAGTTATGTCCCCAAGGAAGAAGTTTGTGGAAGAATAGAAGAATGCCATGCCCCTGTTCCCTTCCCTGCCCCTTATGGAGTCTAAGGTGTGGCTGGCTGTAGGATGTGCCCAGAGGCTGAGACTGTGCTGGGGAACTGCTCTTCTCCCATTGCCCCTCTCTGCCACAGGCTCTCTTTGGTTTTTACAGGGTCAAGAAAGAGCAAAACAGGAACTGGGAAGAAAAAAAAAATAAAAATAAATTTTTTTTCTGGAACTCTGGCTTCTCGGGCTATTTTCCCCTCTCCAGACCATCACTCCACCTGGCTGGCCACAGCCTTTTCCGTCATGCTTACAACTACATGCAGTTGACCCGGACATCCAGTAGAGGTCAGGTCTGTGCTGCTGAAATGCCAAAGCAAGCTGCTCTTCTGGCCTGGCCCTGCTCCACATTCTGAGCAATACCTTGTGACTGACCCCTTCTCTTCCACCTGAAGCCCCCCTGGAGGCAGAGCAATCTTGGCGGCTGACCCCTAGCCCTTAGCTGTCTCCATTTTCCACTTTCCCAAACTCTCCTCTCTTTCTGCTGGAACTCCTCGTTGATACCAGACAGGTTTTTGTTTTTTGTCTTTTTCATAAACTCTGCCCCCTGCCCTACCTTTGTGCCTCCCCTATCCTTGAGTCCTTCCCTGCTTTCCTTAGTAGACATCCAGTAAGCCCAGATCTCTTCTTCCCAACTCCTCATTAACAGAGACTGATTGAAAAAAGAGGCTGAGGTTTCTCCCTGCTTACTCCAGGCAGGCATGATTAATCCAACAGAGATTCCTGGTTCTGTGCTAAATGCCCAAAGACCTATAAAAGGTGGCTTAAGGACCCAGGGCCATGAAATGGGAGTGAAAAAAAAAGCCAAGGGGGGGTGGTATAGATGAAGCCTACAGCAGTCCAAAGGAGAATTGGGTCAGTATGGGCAGGGTGACTTAAGAAGACTTGGGGAAGACAGGATAATTGAAGAAGGGTTATTTTCTGGAGAGGGAAGGAGGAGGGTATACCTGCTAGTGAACTAAGAGATAGGAGTATAAAAATTGTGTTACAGTCTCTCTCAGTCAGTGGAGGGGGTTTATGGAAGATAAGTCTGGGACCAGGCTTGATTGCCAGGTTAAATGTTAGGTCTAGCTTTCTTACCTGTCTCTAGTTGTGCTTTGTACATACAGGGACACCTGTAGTCTACACCTAGATTTCTAGGTGAGGAAGAAACTGAAGCAAAGGGGCTAGAAAGAGTGTGTCTCTCTCCCCACCCTTCCCAATCTAACCACTAAAGTATCACATGAACGCACCTATACCCTTGCCCCTGTACCTATGAATGCAGGCACAAGTAGACTTCTAAAAGACTGGGCCCCAGCTAAACCAGCCTTCCCCCCCTCCTTTCCAAACCAGAACAGCCCTGAATAGGGGGACACAATAGGGGATTAGGGAACCATGGGGGCCCCATTGTGCACCATTGACCTGGTCTTGGTGCTGGCCGGAGTGAGGATTTGCTGCATGGCCTCATTGCTGGGAAGCAAAGCTGAATACAATAACCAGACCAGGTGTGTGGGGAGGTGTGTGTAGGGGGGAAAAGACTGGATAAAAACTTCAGGGATGTCCTTGGGTGCACAGAGAAGGGTTGGAACCTAAGTGCTTAACATTCCCTTTCAATGTGAGAAGCCAACAGGGAAAGCTGAGGGGGAGGTGAGAGGGGCGAGGATGTGCCTTATTACCTGGTACATAATGCTTTGTAGTGTTTGATTCTCATAACAATACCTTGAGGAAGTAGGAAAGGAATGATCAGCCCACATCTTAGTGATAAAGAAACTTAAGCTCAGGATAGGAAAATGTCCAAGAATCATATATTAAGCCTGTGGCTGAGCTGGGACTAGAACTTGGGTGTTCTAGCTCTCAAGTCCAGAGCTCTTAGTCTGTGTTCTCTGGGTGATCTCTCTGTGGCTGGTGGGATTTGGGTTCAGAGGACGGGAAAGCCAAGGACTGGGCATCAGATAAATGGATTTCGAGGGAACTGAAGAATGGCTTCTTTGATTTTTCCCTCCTTAGCTCAGATATTTTTGGTGGGTCAGAGTGGAGAGTCCCATGTGAGATAGGATGAAGACTTTGTGGCAATAGGGGAAGGATGTTCCAGTGAAGTCTTGTTAGCAAACCTCTCAACTTTTGGGTTGGGGGGAGAAGTAGGTGTGAGACAGCTCCTGCTGGGGGGAGGAGTGTTGAACTTGGCACTAGAGATTAACCAATACCAAGGTCACTTCTCACTTCCATCATCTCCTGGCCCCCCTGCAGGTATAAATAAATCTGCCCCTTCTGCCCACTTCTGCTCCATACAGGGAGGATGAGCACAACCTTACATTGAGGAAAATTGAGGCAACACTGATAAAACAGGGAGTTTTGGTGGGCATTGGTGTAGAACTTTATACTTTGTAATAGCATAGAATCAGAGGATAGAGCTGGAAGAAGTTTTAAAGTTCACTCAGAACAGCACCAGCCTCTTACATCAGAGGAAACTGAAGCTTAATAAAGGGGTGACTTACCCAAGAGCACAAAGTGAAGGACAGACCCAGAAGGAGAACCCACAGATCCTGAGGCAGCGGGTGACCACAGTAGATAGACTGCTGGGCCTGGAGTCAGGAAGACCCTGGGCAAGTCAGGTAACATCTTGGCCTCAGTTTCTTCATCCGTGAGATGGGGATAGTAATAGCACCTACTTCCCAAGGCTGTCGTGAGGATTAAATGAGATTATTTGTAAAAAGAGCTTAGCACAGTGACTGGTAAGGGCTATATAAATGCTTGTTTCCTTCTACTCCCCTTCTCTTGACTTCCAGTCTTGTGTACTTTCCACATACTACCTGGGCCATATGGCCTTTCTTCCCCCTCTCCCTGACCTTTGGGTGTGGGAAGGACAGAAGGGGAAGGAGGACAAGCCTGGGGTAGAGATGAGAAGGGAGGAGTACAGCCCTTCCCAGCTGGACGAAGGCAAGAAGATTGTGGAGACCCCGGGCTGGGTAAAGGGCTAAGCACTGGCGATAGGCACTTCCTTCATGAAGAGGAATTGTCCATGGGCTTATGGACCTTGGATCTCTCCCACTAACTGATCACTCAGTGGAAATGGACCAGAAACAGGCAGGGACTGACACCCTGCCATTTTCTTGGTCAGTATCCTGACTTCTTAGTCCTTATCTCACCCTTTCCTGTTACCTGTGAAGAAAAGTAACTTCCCACCTCGGGGGAAGAGAAAGAGAGCAGGGAGAGAGGGAATACAATATTGCATGCTCAGAGAATTTGAGTTACCAATCCTCCAGGCCAGGAAAAACCACAGAGAGAAGTGCCCTGGCTGACAAAGGAGCCCATGATTTCCAGTGCTCCCCCATACTGCTCTCGAAAGTCATTGGTGAGCCTTAAGACGAGGGCTGAACTCGGACCATATTAGTATCTGGGGATAGCCAGCTGTTACAACTGTCACCTTTGCTTCTCTGAGATGTAAGCCCTTTGAGCTATAAAACTTTTTCTGTGATGTTTAAAAAACTCCCTGGGCATTGCAAGCACACACATACACACCCCATGACTAAGGAAGAACTAGTCAAAAGATCCTCCAGCCTTCCCCATTAATATAGCAAAGCAAGTAACGATGGGGGAAGGGGTGTTACTGACAGCTTTGGGGATTCACTGTAGTTCAAGGAGATGAGAGAATGCCAAAGGTGAAAGAAAGCTTCCTCCTTCCCAACCTCACATAAATAAATAAATTCATTTCCTCCACTCTGCTCTTTCTGGCTGAATTTGGAAGAACCCCAGGGGACAGGATGCAAAAAATATTGGGGTTCAAGTGTGAAGGTAACTTCCCCCAAGCTTGAGGCCTTTCCCCACTTAGACACTCACACACACCCATACACACTCAATCACACACGCTCACATACTTGCATTCACACACTCATACACACACTCATTCACACTCACACTCATTCACACACACTCACACACACTCATTAATACACACATACACAGCTGGGTGTCACTAGGATTACTATGCCCAAATTCAACTTCAGGAAGTTGATGATAAAGTTTCCCTATCCCTCACCTTTCAGCATCTTAAAAAACTTAACAGATATCTTCTGGTATCTATCTATGCTAGGCACAATATAAAATAAGGAGGAAAAATATATGAAAAAAAGCCTTCAGGAAGCTTCTAAAAGGAGAAGGGCCATACCAGAGAGCGGTATGACAGGGAATAAAATCAAGCACCAGGTGGAATAGGATTCTGTCACCTTGCAAAGGGACATTGAAGAAGATGGGCATTGGCTTTCACATAGCTAGCTTAGAAGAAAATGTTGCCAGCCCTATGCCCACCCCACCCCCCACCACTCCAACTCCCAGGTCTCCCTTTGAACTCCACTCCTAGTTGACCTGGAGAAGTCCTTGTCACAAGGCAGTGGCACTGACCCCAGTCACAAAACTCAGAAGACATTAAGGACCCCACCCCCAGACCCTACTTGGAGCACCTGCTGGCTCTCAGGCCAGAGTTAACCCCTCCCTCCCCTGTGGGCAGACCTTGGTGGAAGTGGGAGAGAGAAAGGGAGGCCATGGAAGTGACTGGCTTAGAGCCATGCCCACCCCCTACTCCCACCCCCCAAAAAGGTTCTTCCTTTAAAGGCCTTAAAGGATTCCCTGCACACAGCAGGGGGAAAAGTTTGGGGAAGATACCTACCCTGTCCCTGACAGCTTCAACTCATTGTTCAGGGGACCGAGACACAACTTGGGGAAAAGGAGGAGTTGACTCTATCCTGGGTCTGTGGGAAAGACAGGAATGATGGAAACTAAGGGGACCAGCCTGCTTAGCAGGAAGGCTCTACTGGTTCCAACCTCTGGATAGCCCAGTAGAAAAGAGAGATAGAGGGGGGAAAAGAGAAAGAACACCCACTACCCCCCCGCCCAGTTCCTCCTCCCTCTTTTACCCCCACCCCCACCCCCAAGTCTGGAGTTTTGCAGTCACACTGAGACTGGAAGGTGGACAGCTCACACCTCTGCTCTCCCTGTTACTCCCTCCTCCTCTCCTCCTCCTCCTCCCCTTCCTCCTCCTCCTTCTCCCTCTCCTCCTCTCCCCCCCCCCCAGGACCTGTGGTTCAAAGATCTTTGGTTGTTCTGGGACTCTACCTCAGGGGCTGTCCACATCTGCTACTGAGTTTTGGGGGGAGAGGGGGCATCCTCCCCAAGAAATCTCTCCAGTGATGGGAGCCTCCTGTCTCCTGGCCAGCCTCACTCTGTAAGTCTGTGTGTGCTGACTTGAATTTTGTTACCATTTCCAGCCTTGATGGAGGTTTAATCTTAACTCGGAC